TTCCGGATATATCCGGAAGACTTTCATCTCTGTTTAAATGAAACTTTCTGATCAACATTAATAACAAATTGAAATCTTAAAATGAAAGGAAGTATTTTAATGTTTTCTCTGAACAAAATCTTGAAAATTTCACACAAAAAAAGCATTACAGTAGAACTAAATCAAATTATATGAATTTTTTAAAGCCAAAACTTGTTATTATTTAAAAGGTTCTAAGCTTCATGTAATATGATTAAATACTTCCACTGTGATAAGGAAAACATCAAGAATATCAGAGACACCTTGTTCTGCAAAAAGTTCATATAAGCTTGAGATTCATTTGAAATTAGAATGTGTTTAATTACAATTGAAGTATATTTAAATGAAGAAATACGTGTCTTCGATGTATGAGCAAACAGGTTCACTTTGTAAGTCCTGAGACTGTGATATGTTAGATCTTCAAGAAAGAATGGACCGAAGAAAATGTCCGTCATGAATCCACACCATGCAGTTGTTGAAGTGTTGCATAGGATGTTTTAAAGCCATACAATCATGTAAGGCAAAGTAAATAGTATATAAGTGCCAGCACACTGATTTTCATAGGGAAGCATTCACAATGTTTCATGAACAGACACTATACTTGAACTGTAGGTGTCTGCTAATACATGTGTAACATTGGCAGTTCCCACAAAAGTTTTAGATTGTAAAGCACTTATCACACATGTAAACCCATTTTCTTCTATCTCTGGAACAGTCTTTGCCTATTTTAATCAACTCTGTCATTACCAAAGAGCAGTCACCTGTAAAGTTTCACTATCTTCACTCCTTGTACTCTGGTCAGATTCGTGTGCATTCTTTTCTATACAATAATTACAGCAGTTTGTGTTTCTCCCCCGACATATTCTGTTTAATGTGAAAATTGTGTATAGATAGTTCCCCCCTATAATGAGATTTGCTAAGAGTTGCTTTTTATTTATCATACCAATGTAATAACACCATCCTACATCTTGTAGTCAATGTGCTTAGTTCTCTGAAACAATTCAAATATGGTATTTATTAAAATAGTATAATTGTGTTTATTAATAAAAGTTTAGAACATTACAAATAAATAAAAGTACAAAGAAATGTCTTCAAATGTAACTTCTGCATTGTTATACAGACACAGCTGAAAGGTCAGTATAATAAAAATATGTATGTATAATGTTATGGGATTTCGGGTATTTATTCTATACATTTTTGTTATAATTTGTAGTAACTTAGAATGAAAAAGACATAATTTTTATTCCTTTTCTAATTTTTTATGGTTGTTATGAGATCAGACAATTCAACTGAACCTGTATGGGAATTTGTTAGTAAAAATAACAGATAAAATATAAAGTTTTTTTTATTAAGAAACATTTAACTATCTGAACATTATAAATATTGTGAAATTTGAAAATTTTCTGATGCATAAAGTATTTTTAATCTTAAAATGAAAATTACATTACTTGTTACGTAGGCAACATGCAAAAAGAAAAAAGGCATGAGAAAAACATTAATTAACAAACCTTAAGACTTAATAAAAAAAGGAAATTATATTTTGCATATAAAAGCCTTGTAATGTTTACTGATAATCTGCCAAATTTTGTGAACATATGCTTACTAATTTAAAAGCTATAGTATGAAAACTATAACAAGCACAAAATGGTTACGAGGTCAGTTCTAGAGGCTGAGCCCATACTGAAAGAGTTAAATGAAACATTCATTTTAATTCTTTTGAAGGATTTATCAAATTCAATCATTATTTAAGATTGTGATAAAACTACCCATTATCTGAGTTAAGTATATCAAGCCTGAAAAACTTATTTTCCAATACTACATTCATTATATTTCTATAGTTAAATTTTCATTGTCATTAATATATATTCATTGTTTAAGATGGTAAAGATAAAAGTGTTAATTTACCTAATGACTGCTGATTTGCCATATAGGGTACAGTCTGGCTTTGGCAGTTGAATATGAGGAGGAAGCAAACTTTTTTTTTTTTCAAAATCTTGTTTAAAATTCATATAGATGTAACTTCTGTAGTTTCTTATATTTCTAGTTTTGATTTTCTATTTTTTTCAAAAATTTCTTATATCTCTATCAACAAAAGTTACTTGATGTCTTGATATTGAATCTGAAACTTGAGTAGTCAAAATATAAAAACCAGCACTAGCAACTTTTAATGCAGTCTGTAGATAAAAATGTGATATTTTCTGCTCTGTATTCTAGTCTTAATTGTTTTAAAACATTAAAATCCACCATGAATAAGATGACTGTGTTTACTCAACTTCTTAATTTTGAAAAATAAATCTGAAATGTTTTGTTGCAATAAACACTGATTAATAGCCATTTAGTGAACATCTCTGTTAAAACTGATGCAAACATTATTTGAAAATTTTGTGTCTCAGTGACATTTCTTTGTGTCCAGCTAATCACACTTCATAAAACTAGGATTGAAACACTTTGTTAGAGATGTTCTTGTCACTTACCAGTTCAAGAAGTGTTCTCCAGCTGTCGATGTAGTGTAATCTTAAGGGAGAGCAGTGGTAACTACAAACCTATTGTAGAACTAAACTGGGATTTGGAGGATGGTTTTACATCAAGCACTAGCTTAGTACTGAATTAGCAAAAATTATATGCCACACACACAATTAGCAATTGTTGATATAGATTTTAACAATGGCTAGTTAAACGTAGGTCACATAAAAATAATAATAAGGAAAGATGTGATACCTCTAATTTTTTAAGATGTTTAAGAAGAGTTAAAACTAATATTTAGTAAGGTGCAAGAAAGATGTTCCTATAAGTTTTGGCATATTCACTGAAAGCCGTGATGAGCAAGATATGTTGTGTTATTTGAACAGTGCACTGAAATGTTGTAGTTTTCTGAAATTGAAAAATTATGATGTCATAATTTTCATATCACTCATAAATCATAAATTTGAAATAGTAAAAGTATGTTAAAAGTTGCTACTGAAGTTTATCTGTTGTAGAGTTTAGAAAAAAAATGAGTTGTTCAAAACTTAGTCACCATCTTTCTTTGGTTATAATACATGAAGTTCTTGTTCAAACTATTTGTATGATGTATTCATATATGAAATTTTTATTTCAATGGTAAAATGTTAAAGATTATCAATTTTGTTTATTTCACCACATTTTTCTGTTCTAAAAAGGGTCAGACTCCATTAAATTTTGGGCTATGATCCTTAAACTTTCATCTCATGATGACTTGTAAAAAACAGTCCAACCAAGATTGAGAGCTTTTACCAAGAAAGAGTATTTTTAAAATATTTCTGGTGTTAGGGTATTTTATTGTACTTTTTAAAATTATCAGTGTCAAATTTTTATATATATATATATATATATATATATCTATTTTAGCTTATGTTATTCCACTAAATTGATAATGACTATGAATGTTTTAGAGCCTTCTCAGGTATGTTTATACTGTTACTATCTTGTATGCCTACAGACTTCAAAATAAATGGAAGGAACTAGAGTGGACAGAAGATCAGATCACTGAAGCCAAGGCCAAACTAACTGATGCAGTGAAGAAGGTTGCTCCTAAGTTAAATGATTGTCAATTTTTTTTAGGTAAGTTTGGAATTTCATGTAAATCACAAATATTATTTTAAAGCACTAAATGACTTTCTGGAAATAGTGTATACATAAACAGCATATCATCTGATGAAAGAAAACTTATGTAAGATAGAAGAAATTTCTTTGTGTATAAGTAAATGTAATGACTTGCTGAATGTGTAGTTAGTGAAAATTATTCCCAGTACTAATAGAAAAAAAATATATATAAGCATGTGTTGATAGTGCAATAAATATTACTGAGGTTTTTAGTTTTTTTCATATTGAAAAGAAATTATAAAGTAGAAGATCATAAAAGTAAAATCAAATAATTTATGATGTACAGTCCATGCCAAATCCTGGGCATGGTTGCTGTGGTACTACAAGAAAGTGACAGTGTCTTGGAATTTTTTGTTCAAAAAAATGGTCTACCTTTTATATTAAGTAATATAAGTGATATAATTAAATGTAACAGAAAAAATTGGTACAGCATTTAATATTTAGTAGATATCTGAAAATAAAGGAAGCTGAAATTAATTAAATTCTGCAGAGACTTATGTTTCTATTTGATCACCAGATGATAAACTTATAACTCAAAATACTTTAGACTGTCAGTAGCCGACGTGACTGATTCTGAAAATTTGCATGGTTTTACATAAATTACAGCAGTGTTTGTGTAAAATCCATAACTTGCCCAAAAAACAAAAGTGGGTCATAAATGTTTTTGTGACAAAAAAGGTTGGCTAATGAAGTAGTAACTAATGTAATGTTATAGTTCTGTTGACTGATTAATTCTCCAAGATTTGATTCATTGACAAGAACTTACTTTTTAAATAATTAGTACTTAATTTTTCAGTGAATGTAGAAACTGTCATTATCATGGCTTTTCAAATTATTTTGTTTGGGCTTAGATGATATTTGAGTGTCAAGATATGTGTTGTGTGTGTATATAGATAGATATACCTAGTCTCATGTCTGATTCATACTCTTATCATTTCTGATCTGTCAAATGTACCTATGGTACAAAGTAACTGATTTGTATTACTTTTTCACTATTTGTTAAGTATTGAGTTAAAAAAAAGACTACCTTTAAATGTGGTTGAAATGTTATCTTAAATACTTTTGTTAATAAAACAAAAAGCAGAAAATAAAATTAACCCACAATGATTAGATAAAATTAACATCTTTAGAATAATAGGTTTGTTTCTGTATGTTTTGTTCCATTCATTACAATAGTACTGTATATTTTTGTTAATTAAATTGCAGTATATTACAAGCAATAAATGCAAATGACTAGTAATTTTTATACAATTAACGTGCAAGATTGTATTTGAATAATGGTATATTGCAAAAAAACTATTAGCTGATTCAAATAAAGTGTAATGAGTGAGTGCTTCTTGGCTTCCTTCAGAAAAATTAAATAAGATTTAATTTATTTTTTTTAGGTGAGAGCATGAATCCTGATGGAATGGTTGCTCTCTGTGAATATCGTGATGATAAACCAGTAATGATGTTCTTTAAGCATGGATTGGAAGAAGAAAAAGTGGTACGTTTTCAGTTTTTTGTAAAGATACTGCAAATCTGTGTTATGTTCTACTGATACAATATGGTGATTTGTTACAAAATCTTCAATAATCTAAAAGTATATTTAAGGTACAGGTATATGGTTCAAGACATGGCTGTTTTTAAATTTTCAACTAATCATATCATTAAATATTCTCTGAAATTTTACCAGTTTTGTTCTGTATGCTAAATTAACTCTTATTTCATTATTACATTTAAGTTGTACCTAGAGTGAAGATACACCATTTATATAGTACTTAGTGTACAAAATTTCAAAATCTTTCTCACTGTTAGTTGTGTAAGATAAATGAAGAATTTGAGTATATGTAGTAAGTAGCGTGGATTAATCTGAAATAACCATCTCCAGACTGGCAGGGTGATGATGTTAGGTATTTGGTTTCTTCTCATACTGAAAATACTTACTGCATGAAATCTAGTACATGCTCTCTACATAATATCTAGTGAGTGCTTGAAAAAATCTTATCTGGTTTTCTATTTGTTAATATTCTTTGATGTAAAGTTAAAGAAATTTCTTTCTAGCTTACCATAACCATTAACTTTAAATATCCTTACCTGATGTTTTCTCATGAATATTCTTGTAGTTTTAAAACAAAGCACAAAAAAATTGTTGCAAGAAACCATAAAAAGTTCCTAGGTTTGTGGCTTGATTCTTAAGCCTTGTATACTTGGTATTACAATACACTAGTCACTTTCTCAGAAACCAGACATTACTGCTTTACCCCACTTTATTTACTTTACATTTAGATAGACAAGAATCTTTTCCATCTAATAATTTTTAGCTGTTCTATCTTGCTTTAATGCCAAAATTTATCATTGTTCAACTTCCTTGCTGTGGTATCAAGAAGCCTCTTAATAAAGGGTTCTTGAAATAGTCATGGAAAGAAAAGGAAAATTATGAGAAGTAAAAACTGTGATAAGAATTTGTAAGTGATACTAGGGTCTGAGTAAATATAAACCTATACTCTAACTGTATTCTACATGTGCAAAGTTATTCAACAAAAACTGCTAAATTTTGACCAAACTGTTTGAGCATGGCTATGCAAAAAGTCATGGGAGCTATTAATCTAAAATTTTTATTACAGCTTCAACTGAGAGTAAAAGTGGACTGTCTACAGTTTTTTGTCATTCAGATTAAAGATGACTGATTTAGAGCAGCAAAACTATAAGGTGAAAGCATGTGCAGATACTTAAGTATTGGTTAGGCCAAGCATACTAGATTAGCAGTTTCTAGCTCAAGTTTTTCAAAAAAATCACACAAGTGGATGGTTATTATTGATTATTCATTGCCAACTTTAAGCATAAATTTGCTAAACTTTATGAAATTATCCTAATTAAAGAGCATTTAGCATCATGTGATATTAGCTTAAGCAGTTAGTGTAAATAATGATGCTAGATACAACTGTACTGTGTGCTTGTAGGTGATTACAAGAAACTGTTAACCTGGATTTCACGGCATTAGTACAAAGGAAGTTTTGACACTGTTTTTAGAGAGGAAGAACTACCACCATATATTTTAATAAAGAATTTGGTTGGTTCTGTAAAGTATAGGTCTGTTCCAAATAATAGGGTTGCGATCTTAAAGCTAATGTTGGTTACTATTGGGTGTCGCTTTCTTACTTGCTGTGGTTTGTTGGTGTGTATTGACAAAAAGTCATGATACCTAATCAAAAACATCTTGGGTGTGAAGGAAAGGTACTTCCAAAAAAAAAGGATTGAGCATGCAACTAAAAGGAATGAAATCAAAATTGGTGGCCAAACTGGTAGCATTGATAAGAATTTTACAGCAAATATTCATTATTCAGCTAGGCCACATATTTTATTTCACCCACTGTCATACCCCAATTTGAACAAAAAATATAGCCTGGCTAACTAATGAATGAATATTTGCTGTAAAAGTCTTACACTGCTACAAGTGTAGAAACAGTTTGGCTGCCAATTTTGATTTCATTCCTTTAAGTCGCATGTTCAATCCTTTTTTGACAGTACTGTTTTTTTTTCACACCTAAGATGTTTTTGATTAGATTGTTTACAGACAATATCCCTTTGAGCTGTGCAGAAATCAAAACTCAAACATTTTTCTTTGCACATTTTACTAAATATTGCAAAGTTACAAAATATAAATTCTTACAAATTTTTGATTAAAGAAATAATTAGAGAAATACAGTAATTGCTTATTTACTTAAATTATGAAATTTATTATATACTACCCAAGAGTACCCATTAATTAAGCAAAAACGTGTATAAAGGACAATGTTTGATAAGGTCTGTTTTGCTTTTTTGATTAAATCCCTGATGACCTCATTAGATAATAATTTTTATCCTGGAAGGTAATCATGGACTGATTTAACTGATTAAGCACTTGTTTTTAAATCAAAGCTAACAATGGTATTAAAGTGAAAATGTGCCCTATTTCATGGGCTTTTTTGTTCCACTTCTCAGTCAAATATTCTAAAACAAAATAACTTATGTATACTGTCAGACAATTTTCAGTGACCACACAAAAATTACAGTGATCTAACCAGCTAAATATGGGTAATGGATGCTAACACACACACACACACACACACACACACACACACTAGATCATCTTTATAGTAAGAAGAGAGCTTCTTATCAGTTTTAATGGGATTATTGGAAAGACAAATTACAGAAGGAAAGCAAAAAGTACTAATAATGATAAGATACGAATAATATAGTACAATATTCATCTGAGGGATAGAAACTGTTCAGTCTGCATTTAAGTGTTTTATTCAGTAATAGTTGCAATAAAAACTGCATGAATCCTCAGACAAGTTTTTGGTTCTAAACTTTTCTTATTCAAAACAATTTGACTGACCTCGTAAAAACTATAAAAAATTAGGAAATAAATATAAATTATGCTTTTTTTATTCTAAAGTACTACATACAAATTATAACACAAATGTATTGAATGTTACATATTGAGAATTTATAATAGTCTGAAGCCAATATTTTATTTTATTTTATGCTTTTGCCAACAAGATTGACACACATCGTCTCCGTATATATATATAATACAACAGTACAATTTACAACAACAATTATTATGAATAGTTACCACAAACAAAGTTTTATAAAACAAAAATTTCACTAACTTACAAACACAAAATCTTCTGTCTAGTTCAGAGTTTCCTTGATATCCAGCGAGTTAACTTGAAGTCGATGTACGTACAATTGCCGAGAAGCTAGCTAGCTTTGTCAGAAACTGAATTGTTGGACCGTTGAAATAAGATAATATTTTCATAAAAACCAATAATATCCAATGAGAATTCAGTGATACTTTCAAAAAGATACTAACGTCCAATGAGAATCCACTGACGTTCAAAATTTATAAATGTTCCTGGTGAATTGTCGTATATGTTCCACTTGATAAGGGTTAGCAAACTCACGGTTTATAGCGTACATCGTTATGACAGGATCCTAGCAGATTTATAAGCCCTCTCTTTTTGGCATGTCGTTTTGCCTGTAGGTGCGAGAACAATACTGAACTATATTTAACCAGTTACAGAAAGGGATATATTGTCGATTCTTGCATTCATGAATATTTTACAATCTTGGAGAATTGGCAGGAGTTTCGCCATACGTAACTAACGCTGTATGCTAGGTATGTTTTGAAATACAAACTCAATCCAACAAACGTTGACTTTAAAATAAATATATATAACAAATTCATTACATGCAATACATATCCAACACTATAAGTTACGCATATTTCCAAATACAAACTTAATCTAAACAATGTTCATATTAAAAATAAATACATGACGACAAATTTGTTACAAGAATAAATAGCTGAAATCTCGTAACATTATTATTTTTATTATATTGACCTTCCAACTGTGTCTGGCTAACAATGCAAAAGTTACAATGATGTGGCGCACGTGGACTCATGTTACTGTATCCAATAATATAAAAATGGCATGTCTTGACTGTTTTAGTGGACTGGTATTTTGTAAAATAATCACATTTCAATTATTATACATAATATATGTATACATTATTACTATTTACAAATAAGTTCCTAAACTTATTTTTCTTAAAACATAGAATGGTAAATAAAGAAATAAACCAAACAATTATCTCTTTTAGTTACGACCTTTGTACTCGGTTCTGCATTACATAGGTTGCTAATCCTTATAAAATTTTGCACGTGGGGGATATGACAAAATAATTTTTGTATGTTTTATATATTTATATAGTTAAGTAACCAAAAAATCATAAATTACTATATCAATACCATAGAATTCCACTATAATTTATGAACTTTAGTAACTAAGCTGTATTTGGGTCTAAAAAAATATGGAATATCGAGCAGACTAAAGACACAACCTACCTCCTTGAAAATGGCTGAGAAAGCCACTAAGGAGACATTCTGAGCTTTTGATTGGTTATTCACATGTCATATACACAATTAAGTGCATATTAGGGACCATTTCCAAAAATGGAAAGAGATTAGCTGAGCCAGTGTGTTTGAATCAGTACCTGAGCGATATATCAGCAAATAGAAAAGATAAGAGGTTCTTATTTGATATTCTTGCATCTTAATATCAGTAATTTGAGTTCTTAATTAGCACAAATCTATAGACTTTGTATTTTGACATCACAAACATCTAATTTGAACCAGTGCTGCATTCAACATAACACTTGATACAAAAATTGGTGTTCAAGTATTTTTTTTAATATTTACTTTTAAATTAAATAATGTATAATACTAAAATTTGAATATAATTACAGTTTGATACCAAACTTATTGACATAAATTCATAAAATAGTAGTTCAATAAAATTTTGAATGCAAGTCAACAAACACAATGATGTAGTTATTGATCTGTGACCTGTAGCCATAGAGTTAATGTGTGGTTTGCTAAAAATTCACAAGTTAGATATTTCTACTGTGCCAGAACTTCAGACTTGGTTGGTATGATTCACAATACTACTGTTACTGGACAACTTGTGACTGCCTGTATGTTTTTAGGCTTTAAATATGTTTCCCTCCATTTCGACTAACTCTACACTGAGTTGGGTCATTTCATATGGACATGTTAATGAATAACACCATTGTTTTGGCTCATGCATTACTTAATTTTAAGTCTCACAGCAGTTGGAGTTTTTCATGCTACAACATCTCTTGATTTACCGTAGCCAAACAGAAAAATTTGACACATTTTTGTATTTTATGCAAAGATGACAATTTTTAATAATTCATCTTGGAGCAATAAACAATAATTTTGTATTTGATGATGGCAGTTATAAACACTAATATACTACATGTTGCTACTAGGCAATACCAACAATGTACAAGCAAAGTATCTAAATGTTTTAAGATATATCGCTCTATTGTGGGCATGGACCATTTTATTAGTATCAATACTTACATAAAACCTTTCAAAAATTAATCAGAAATAGCTTTGGTTTGATTGACCTTGACATTAGTTGTATAATAAAGTGAACATACTGGTCTATATTTTTATTTATGCCTAATAATAGTCTTTGCTGTACAATGAAATTTCACTCTTACAGTGTAACTGTTGCACTTTATATTTTTTTTCTTAGTGGTCAGACTTCAGCAGCTTAGCTAAACTATTGTCATTGCTTTCTCTTCAGTTTCAAATATTAAGCTTTACTAAGATGTAATTCTACTTTATTTGATATTAAATATAGTTATGCATTAGCAGGCTGCTTGAATTGCCACATGATACCACAGTTACTATCACTTAACCATAAGTTATTAGTGGCAAAATTTTGTTGTTAGAAATGATCTTTTCTTGAAAAATTATTTTAAGCCAGGTTTATACTCTACAGGGTTGGCAAAAAGTCTGGGTGCTCCACCCTCAAATGAAGATAGTGTACATAAAGGAAATAGTTTATTGCATATTGACACAGACTAAGAAAAAGTTCAATTAATAATCCAACATGTCTGTCTGTTGGCCTTCATTTTCATGGCATAGGATGATACATCTCCATGTGCAATGTGCACCCATACACTTGCAACTAAGTGTTCTTTTATTGGATAGTTACTTGAATCTACAATGTTCACCCTTACTAAAGTTGTTAACATATGAGCTTTAAATTGGGGGGTGTCCAGACATTTTGCCCACCCTGTACTTCCATTCAGTGTTTATTTTCTGAATAATAGCTTGTAAGTGAGTTTAGAATTTTATTATATTGTAAGGTTTGAGGCATAGTTAGATTAAAATTTGTATCTAATTAGGAAAGAAAGTCAGTTGTTGGTTGAGAAAAAAAAGGTATTGAAAAAGAATAATGATGAAAAGGGGAAAGCAGTAACTCCATCTATGATCTACTGTTTTTTTATTAATAAAATTGAATTGAATCATTTTTAGAGTTTAATGTAACTTGTTATTTTCAATTTTGAAATGCCTTGTTACAGTGGTTACATTGCAGCTCCATGATTTTCACTATTGGTAAATATGGATGAAAGGTTTTTGTATTTGCAGTATTATGCTAAATTAATAGGACTGCTGAAAAAGAAAACTTTAATATAATACTGATATTTTCTGGTATGATGGTATACAGATATCAAAAAAAAAATATTGACTTATGATCACAATTATCTCTCTTACAGTGATGAAGTTCTTCTTAGCTTGGACAAGCCAAAACTATTTGCAGTCTAACACCCAGTTACACCATAAGACTGATCTATCTCGCAGTTCCAATGGCCGATATTAACTTCCATCAGTGATTTGTTATCAAATTTTTAAATAATTTTAAGCATTAATGAATCAGGTTTAAAAAAGCATGTGAATTATGATGACATATGTTTTGACTTGTGCCCATATGTAATAAAGCTTATAGTAAAACTGTGTTTTTGTTTTATTTTATAGACATGTAATATGAATTTTCAGTTATGAAAATGCGATAAAATAAAAAATGGCATTACCTGCATTTTCAGTTATATAAATTAATTATATAAAAGTATTGATAAATTTAACTGCTGCATCAACATTAAGTAATTACACTTTATTAATGTTTAAATTTCCTGATAGGCTTCAAAATTTATATACAAGTTATTCTGTGTGTTGGTTTATTAACGCTATTACGGTTAGACTAGTTCATTTTTCTTCGCCAAAATGTGAATTTTAGTAACTAAATAACCAGTTAGCCAAATAATAATTTATAGTTGACTTTGATGATATTTTAATTACTACTGGTGAGTAAAGGACTATTACACCAAAACCAAACAAAACACACGTCCTTCATGAAAATAAATTATCTGTTGCTGTGCAATTAAAATTACCTTCGCTTCTACCATCTTGTGTATAATGTTTTACCACTAATAAGCAATTAGTAAAATTAATTTCACAGTACTCTTTTTACGTGTTATTCAAAAATGTCATTGATCTAGGTAATTTATTTCAAAACATTAAAGTGTGGTAGTAATGGCTATCGTAAATGGTAGCAGTTATGTAGCTTCTATAATATTCAAAATTTGTGTTGTATTTCTAGACTAGTCTGTTACAGTTCAGCCTTGACTACTGCAAACCTGTACCATGAGAATGTAAAATTTGTTAAGAGAACAATCGATGGATTATCTATGTGTTCTTAAGGTATTATTTGACAGAAAATTACCTTCAAGTAATACTAGCCTATATTATCTCTTGAGAATACAGTGGCCATTTTGCAATCTTGTGTCAAAGGAGCTTTATTTCTTTCTCTTGCTGGATATGCCCGTGTTTTTAATAGTGATATTTAGGGTCGGTGTTGTCATTATATAATTGTTTTCTACAGTAAAGCCCATTCAAAAAAATAAAATAAATAGTATTTATTTCAAATTCTACAGTCTTTATTTTGTGCCACGTAACTTCATTGTCATTTCCTACGCTAAAAATTATTCGGGCTTCAATCTTCAAATACCAGTGACTCGTGATCAGCTAACTCTTAGCATTCATTTGGTTATTGCTGTTGTGGCGTACATGTAACTATTTACGAATATCAAAAGTGTATCAGAATTTCAGCGATTTGCAGTTTAACAAAGTGAAAATGCTTGTGATGGAGTCTTCAAACGCTTCATGGATGGGTCAAAGAAACTTGACTTCTGGAAGACTTGCTTCTATTTATTACAATTCAATAAGTTTCTAGTGACTTTTAGATTGCAAAAACGATAAATGGTGGACTATAAAAGGTTGTCTACGTCTATAACAAGTGGGACTTTTCTACGACAAACTAATAATTGCTTTCTGTGTGCGCAAACACTTTAAAACTTTGAAAGAATGTGATGTTAAAAACCAGGTTTAGATACCTGTGGTGGTTGTCACATGTTTACCCTGCCACCCGTTGAGTCATTATAATGTGACGAACAATCTACTACTCGATGGTAAAGAGTGAGTGGTGTTGACTAGCTGCCTTCCTTCTACAGAGTTATCAACACTCGCGCTTCTTGGCTTATTCTCACACGCATTGGTAATAAAATATCATGTTTTGGTCAAATTAGTAGGTTTCTATAACGTATTGCGATTGTTTGACCAGCTTAATCAATGCCAAAGTCAGCATCACATTGATCCAGGAAATGCGCCATTTTATTTTATTGAATAAAATATTTTCTGGAAAAGTATTCCTTAGAAGGCGACTGCTGTCGGCGCTCAAAGCACTTGACAGCACGCTGGAATTTTACTTTTAAAAGTCTCGCTCAGATATCTAAAAAGTTGGTAGCTCTGTCTCTAGTACATCACTTCAAAACTAAAGAGGGCGATCGCAGGTAACCCTCGAGAAGCTTTGCGAGAAATTCAACAAAAGCGGAAAACCCCGCCCCACCACCATATACACATTTGTGATTGTAGCCCGACTACTATTATTTTACCGCACCCTACACCTATCATCCGGATACTTCTTTTTTTTTAATATACAAAAAATTCAGACAGTGAAGAAAGGTATTTTTCTAAACAGGCCTACTAAAATACTATAATTTGTCTGCCTGACACTATAGCAAAGAAATAAACATGAGCCTAATTTAGCATACATTTGGACAACTAAGTTGATTCAGATTAACTATATTATTATCAAAATAACAGGAAATTAAGGAGAATATTGAGCTTTAGGTAAAAAATAAATTTCTTAGAACTTAGCTTTCAATCGGCTTTACTTCCACTACTCTCACTTAAAAATTAAACAAATGCAGCATTCGACTGCCTAAGAAAAAATAAGACATAAAACAATAATATTATGCAAAATATTACCATGAAAAAAAAAAATGTTTACCAAACTTGTCAGTTTTCTTGCATATATATATATATACATATATTTTCCTTTAAGAATAAAAAAAATTCTGTTATTTTTTCATATTGCATAAGTGCATTTCTTGCGGCTCCTAATGAACGGTTGGGTTTACTAGCAAGAAACTAATTATTAGAATTGGTGTAATTTATAATATTTTTAGTATGTATTTTATAATGAAACCACTCACACCATAACCTTGATTTTACACACAAAAAACTATTTATTTGATCATGCATATTTTGTGTGTGTCTGGTTATTGACTATTCTTGAACAATGCTTCCAAATTAGTGTGCCTTTAAATGTAATTAAACCTTGTTAATGAAAGAATTCGTAAAACATAGACACAAACTATAACATTCCACGAGATATTGCTATTGTAGACAGTTGTATTTTACTAATAACTATTTATTGTGCAATAGAGAAGTAATACAATTTAAAAGTAATAGATTGTTTTGTTCTTAAGCATAAAGTTGCACGAAGGAGTTATCTGCGCTGTACCCACCCCGGGATCAAATCCCAACTTTAAGCTTACCGATGAGCCATTGGGGAGAGTATTAGACAAATATTCATTAATTCAGTACGTAGTTATTAATAAATATAAATTCTTTAAAGCATGCATAATGAAATGTATAATATTTGGCTAAATATATATATTTAAACGGGTAACTTTTGAATTAATTTTAACTTATAAAATGTATGTGCAAATAATTGTTTAGGTAATTTAAGAAGTTACAAACAGATTAACTACGTTAACGTAAACTTTATATTTAAATAATATGAAACATGTAACAAAACAATCTTGAAAATCGACCTAGTATTGTCATTTCGAATTTTAAGCCTAAAAAAAGAAAATAAGCATCATTGTCATTTCACCAATAATAATATATATATACTGCTATAGATTAGATTTTTTAATGAGGTGATTCACTAAGTATTTCACTTTAATTAAAAAAAATATTATAAATAAATATAAAACGCTAAAAAATTAAAAATTTTATTTTTTTCGAAGTATGTTTTACATTTCGCATAAGAATTATATAAAAATAGATAACTCTATGCATATATACCGTTATGTAGAATAAACGCATACGATTCGAACCCAGTTACGGAACAGGCGGGAAACGTTGTGTACAGCTGCTACATCACAACATTTTAGAGGTTTTACTCATAATCCCACAATGCACAGCGGAGTTTTACTCGTGGTAGAGATTGCAAGAACATGACTGATAAAGTAGCATGGAGAACTTCCCATTGACTTTATGCGGTCAAAATGGGACTCATCAATCCACTCGAACGTTAGATAGAATACTTGAAGAAGCTAAGGTAACTGGACACCTAAATCTTAGTGGAAAGAATTTAAAAGAGTTTCCAAAAATCCCTCTGAAGTATGATCTCTGCGACACAGTTTCGACAGGTAAGAGCACATATACAGTTCAGTGTGTAACACTCATTGTAAATGTAATGCATCGACATAGGGTTGATGTAAGCAAATCGTCTTTTGTGCTTGGCCTAACGTTAACATTAACAAATAACAATGCATTTGTGATCTAATACAACTACAAATTAAACCAGCAATTAAAATTGTTATTTAATATTTCTTATATTAGTTTGACCGGTTGGCTTTAGTTCATAATTCTTTTTCTTTAAGTTCAAGTAGGAAGTTTTAACTATTGCTTTGAATTTTTGTAATTTTATATTTTCATCTGAGTAATAAATACTATAGTATAAAATAAACTTACAATTCTATTTTCGATGTATTTGTCATATTCATACTTAATAAGTTAAGATAATATGATGTAGCTATGATTGTGATTCAAATATTTTTGCTTTTTTATATCTGAATTGGATATAAAATATATTTTAACAACTAATGTTTTGGGGAAAAAATGGCTTTGAATTTGATCTAATTCTAGCTAATGGTAATAATCATGAAATAAATTGACATTATAGGCTACAAAGTAAAATGTATACATTTATTAAATTAATGAAAATTAAATAACTACTAAAGGCAATATTAACTTGTGATTAAAACCAGCTACCTACATAAATTATAAATAAAAATTGGAAAGATTTAGTTTAGTGTGGATTTGTGAATACAGATTTAACAGAAAATTTTCTTTGAATAGCTCACTTTGCAGCTGTTTTTATATTTTGTCATAAATTTCATCAAGTCCAAACCATAAACATAATTGTTTTTGACAATATTGAAATATGTCACCTTTTGTGAATTCATGAGAATAATAAATGCATTTGCACAGAAATATTTTGTTACAAATATTAAGAAAGATAGGTTAATATGAATAACTATTACTAGTTCATTTTAGTTTATATTTTTTAATCATTTACTTTTATGTTCTTTGTTGATGCAACATTGGGTGTTGTGTTTTACAATAATTTAATTTCTGGTACATGGAAAAAAAGCATAATGACTAATGCCATGACATCTTGACATGCATTAGAAATTTAAAGTTAAGTTTGAAAAATTGAATTTTGGTACTTTATAATTTTGCAAACACATTTTTGAATAAGGTGAAACAAACTATTATTACAAAGCAGTAATTTATCCAGGAAGTTTTTTGTGCTAAGTTATAGTGCAAGCATGAACATATTAGAAATAGCACCAAGTTAGTTAAGAAAAGCCTAAACTATCACTCAAGTAGTCTTTTGACATTTGAAAATATTCTCTTAGTTAGATCACACTTGGAATACTGTGTCAAGTTTTTGTTTTCTTATCCAAGAAAGGGTTCACAGAAAGGCTACTAGGAATAGCATGATTCCAGGGACGGAAGGGTTATATTATAGAAATAGATTTAGGTCTTTTAATTTATTCTCCTTTTAGAAAAGAATGTTTATAGGTGATCTGTTTTAAACTTACAAGGTAATCTGGGATTTGATAGGATAAAGGCTTCTAATTTCTTTGTGCTCTATTCTGAAGATAATAGGATGAGAGGACCCAAGATTTGTAAAAGACAGGTTAGGCTTCAGTTGAGACAGTTTTTTTACTGGTTATGAAATGAGTTGCTATCTACAATGATGAAGGCTAGCATTTTACAAGAGTTTTAAACAGGGGAGATCTGTGATTTCTTGAGAAGTATGGGATGGATTTAAATTTTTACTTTTCTCAAGAATGGATATGCAAGGACAACCGTGAAGGACACATGATCTACGTTGCCAATGTGTCATGTTAATATTATTACCATTTGTGAAGTAGCTGCCAACATAAATATATAGTAGTTTTCTTAAATATTAGTTTACATGTTATGTAACTATGTTTTCTTGTTTTCTGTGCTTTGAAAAATGAGTTATAGAATAATTTGTTGTTGAGTTATGTAGTAATCACAATGAAAAATGACTAGACTTGAAGAACTGAGTTAATGTAAAAATGATCTAAGTGACAGAAGACCAATTGATCCATTGAGATAATTCCTCCACTGACTGATAAAACAAACTCAAACTAACACACATTATTAGGAAAACCTGTCCACAAAACAGAGAAGTAATTCTGCCTATAAACAAATTTGGATAAAATGCATATCTTAATAGAGTTATGAAGGAAAGGGATCTTGGTGTAATAGTTGATCAGTCTCTAAAGCTATTCAAGTAGTGTGCTGTTGCTAGTGGTAGGGCAAATAGGATTTTAGGTTGTAGCTACAGAAATATTGAATACAAGTCTAAAGAGATTATAATTTAATTGTACAGATCACTGGTTAAGCCACATTTGGAATATTGTGTTCAGTCTTGGGCTCCTTACCATTGGAAAGACATTGAATTGTTGGAAAGGGTTACTAGAATGGTGCCTGGGATGGAGGGATTGTCATACAAAGAGAGGCTGAAATCTCTCAAATTGTTTTCTCTTGAAAAAGAAGAATTAGGGAGGGCAGATCTGACTGAGGTGTTTAAGATTGTAAAAGGAATGGATAGTGTTGATGCATAATCGTTTTTCATATTTAACAGTAAGAATAGTAGGACTAGAAGACACAAATATAAATTTTGCCAAAGTAGGAGTCATCTTCAGCTAAGACAGTTTAATTTTTCTAACAGGGTGGTTGGCCATTGGAATGAGTTTCCTTCAGATGTTGTTATAGAGGCAGTAAATTGAAGCAAGTTTAAGAAAAAACTTAATAAGTATATAAATGATAATGGCTGGCTTTAAGATTTTTGTTTAATTATTTTAATTTAGTTTAGAGGATTGAGTAGCCAAAATGGACCAGTAGGTCCAATGTTGTCCCAAAACGTTATGTTATTATGTTACATATATCACCCTAATATTCAAGTTCCCATTTGTAAAACATTAAATGAAGTATAGTTTTTCACTTAAGTAGAACAGAATCACAGTTATGTATGCCTTCAAAACAAAAGGGTCATCCTCATTAGACAGTAAATTCAGTATTTCCTAAGGAAGTTGGGACACTTAAACCAAGGGTTGGGTTTCTCTAGTTTTAATATAATGGCTATGGAGAAGAAATCTAGGGATAATTGTAGTTCAGTGATAGAAGAGCTCAATTGTTTTTCATTTTTTGGGTAACTACAACTTTTATATAAAATAAGTATGTATGTGTAGTTCATAAATGTAAAGAAAAAAACTCAAACCAAGTATTTAGTAAAGTTACTCATGGATTTATCTTTTCACTATTTTGAACATTTCACAAACTAGCAGTGCATAGAAAGTTAATGAAGACACAGCAGAAGCTGTAATTAATCAAAATACCTTATGTGCAGCTGTTAATACTTTTTTGTAAGAAATGTTATTTTTTCTGTTAAGGCCATCATGTGTTCATATGAACATTCAAATCTTTCGTGAAATTTTGTATATCAAAAATATGCCATGTAAATCTACTGTAGGATTGTGTTTCAAAGTTTCAAATGTTATCCAGGAATTCCAAGATACTAACTATTGGAAGGTTCATCAAGTGGCATTCAACCAGTGTAAGATTTTTGTTTCAGTTGTAAAGAGAAACCATTTGATGATATTTGAATAATAATCATACATTAAATGTCACTCATGGAATAATTGATCTTTTGATTTTTATAATGCTAATTACTTAAACAAAAGTTGTTGTATTGAAAAAATAATAATAATACACGCATCATATATTATACATGCATATATTATTCTATGCATTGGAGCAGAATATTATGGTGGAACATGGAAGATAGTACATTTTGTGGTTGAATTGCTTCAATAAAATGTACTTAATGCTCAATGTACAAGATATAAGAGAAGTGTTATTTTTACATAAAATGTAAAAACATGATTACTGTTGTGTATAACATTTTTAATTTACATATGAATGCTTTGGTTCATTTCTATGGATACATATGTAAAATAAAAGGGTTTTCAGTCAAACATAAACTATTAGTTATGTTAGTGTAATCAATACGTAATTAGTAATAATACAATTGAACCTTTGTTCAGTGAGGTATTTTAAATCTTACAGCCTTATAATATAGTCCTGTTATTATATAGAACTTTTAATTAGTTTTTACAGTGATACATCCCTCCCCTTATCATACTCCTCCTTAGTTGTTCACTATATTCATTTATGAAACAAACATTTCACACTGTAAAAATAAAATAAAAAATACTATAGCTATGACAGCTGGAAAGACGAAATTTCTATATGATAAGCCATTAAAATGTAACACAAATTTATCATGTGTGTGTGATAAGGATTTAATTTTCCACAATATTTTTTTCTGTCCAGCAACTAATGTGTAACATATTCTTATTCTTTCTTTTAAATAAAACTCATCAACTGACCCAGCAGAAAATTTCCCTTCTGTGAAAGTTAATCATTGCTGTACTATATTGAAAAATGTATATTTTGAATGGGATAATGGGAGAGATATACAGTAAAACAGCAACACCTGAAGATGTTGAGTGAACATCAATAAAACATTCTATTAGTATATATTTTTACTTTATCGCAATAAGTAGCTTTTTTTTTCAATAATGTGTGTTAATTCCATTTGGGACACCACTCACATTCATTAACCATTGTCATATTTAAAGTATTTAATTTAAGGATAGTCAAGTTGTATTCTTAATTAAAATCCCTTATATGAATTTTTATTCATTGAAATATTATGAATGCACAAATTTTATATCTGAGATTATATAAGGGCAAGAGAAAAAACAACATGGATAAACAAATATGCCAACTAGCTAGAACGTTTTTAGAAAGACAGCTTATATTTTTTGAGAGGTCTGTTTTTGAGTTTCTAGGATTTTTGTTAAAGATTTTTGGAGATTAATATCTTAGTGAGAATAGGGTTTTTGTTATTGCCAAGGCTTTTCTCGTCATTGTCTTAAGCATTTAAATTTTGTTAGTTTATTTTATTTAGGTGTAGAAAGCTTCTTGTGATAAGTTTAAAGATTGAGATTATTTTAAGTCAGACTACTGTAATAATAAC